AGTTGATGTGGGAAAAGAGCCCGCCTCTGGGGGTGGGGGTGAGAAGACTGCCTATAACTAAAGGGTTATTTATTTCTAAAGCAAATTTGTGTGTGTGTATGTGTTTGTATGTGTGAGAGAAAAGAGCGAAAGACAGACAGGCACCCCTATTGGGTCCTCAGGCCACAATCCACCTCCAGCCTTAGCTGACTGTGACCATGGGTAGCACATGCCTTAGCTGTTCATGGTGGTTCTGGGACACCATTGTACCCCACCTGGCCCCAGGGGAGCTATTTATTTGTTATCATTATTATTTATTATCATTATGTCAAATGATAAGTGATAACTGTACATGTTTATGGACTACAATGTGATATTTTGATATATATGTACAATGTGTAATGGTCAATTATCTTTTCTAGCATCTCAAACATTTGTCACTTTTTCTGTTGGTCTCATTGGAATTAGAGAGCACAATAGTGGTTACTAGATGGTGAGAAGGGTAGGAGGGAAAGGAGGATTGGGAGATTGGTTAGTAGATATAAAATTACAACTAGATAGGAATAAATTCTAGAGTGCAACAACACTGTAGGGTGGCTGTGTAACAACAATTTGTTGTATATTTAAAAGAAAAATCCTAGAAGAGAGGATTTTTGAATGTTCCAGGTGACTCTTGGCTATGCCAGACTGGCCAAGAGCACAGGGCTTCCTCCCCAAGCATAAACCACTTTCTCTCCTCCCCTCTTCCACACAGGGGTGCCTTGCAGGCTCTTTTAGGAGTCTCTCTATGACCTTGTTTAAAAACTGGGGACTTGAGGCCCATGACAAGGCAGTGGTTTTCCAAGGGCTCCATGGTGAGGTTGAAGACCCAAATGGGATCTCTTCTTGATCACTGGGGCAGAGCTGCAGTGGACTCTGAATTCTTTTTCACCCCCCTGCAATTGGTCCAGTTCCCCGGGCATGTCTTACCGCCTCCTGCTTCCATATGGGTACCCAGGGCAGTCTAGGCAGGTGAAGCACTCATGCCCAGATTCCTAGGGTTGAACACTAGAAAAGATACTCAGAGTTCCCATCTGAAATGTGCAGTTTTTGGGGAGGCTGTGGTTTGGCTGCAGCCGTGGGACCTTGCTAACCTGGCCCTGCTGAATCCAGGATTCAAGGAGACGGCCTTCCTCTACGCCATCTCCTCAGCTGGCCTGACACATGCACTGGCCAAGGCATGCAGCGCGGGACGCATGGAACGCTGCACGTGTGACGAGGCACCCGACCTGGAGAACCGTGAGGCCTGGCAGTGGGGCGGCTGTGGGGACAACCTCAAGTATAGCAGCAAGTTTGTCAAGGAGTTCCTGGGCAGGCGGTCAAGCAAGGATCTGCGAGCCCGCGTGGACTTCCACAACAACCTCGTGGGTGTGAAGGCAAGCGGGGTGGGGCATGGGGTGGGTAGGGCATTGCAGGTGTGAGGGGGTGGTCAGGGTATAGGGCACATGGGTGGGTGCAAAGAGTAGGCTGGAAAGGCATGTGGGAATGTAGGGAATCAAAGCTCTGGGCAGAGACACAGGGAGCTCAGGGTGGGCCTGGGGTGCAGGGTAGGCAGGCACGGTGGCTGTGTAACAACAATTTGTTGTATATTTAAAAGAAAAATCCTAGAAGAGAGGATTTTTGAATGTTCCAGGTGACTCTTGGCTATGCCAGACTGGCCAAGAGCACAGGGCTTCCTCCCCAAGCATAAACCACTTTCTCTCCTCCCCTCTTCCACACAGGGGTGCCTTGCAGGCTCTTTTAGGAGTCTCTCTATGACCTTGTTTAAAAACTGGGGACTTGAGGCCCATGACAAGGCAGTGGTTTTCCAAGGGCTCCATGGTGAGGTTGAAGACCCAAATGGGATCTCTTCTTGATCACTGGGGCAGAGCTGCAGTGGACTCTGAATTCTTTTTCACCCCCCTGCAATTGGTCCAGTTCCCCGGGCATGTCTTACCGCCTCCTGCTTCCATATGGGTACCCAGGGCAGTCTAGGCAGGTGAAGCACTCATGCCCAGATTCCTAGGGTTGAACACTAGAAAAGATACTCAGAGTTCCCATCTGAAATGTGCAGTTTTTGGGGAGGCTGTGGTTTGGCTGCAGCCGTGGGACCTTGCTAACCTGGCCCTGCTGAATCCAGGATTCAAGGAGACGGCCTTCCTCTACGCCATCTCCTCAGCTGGCCTGACACATGCACTGGCCAAGGCATGCAGCGCGGGACGCATGGAACGCTGCACGTGTGACGAGGCACCCGACCTGGAGAACCGTGAGGCCTGGCAGTGGGGCGGCTGTGGGGACAACCTCAAGTATAGCAGCAAGTTTGTCAAGGAGTTCCTGGGCAGGCGGTCAAGCAAGGATCTGCGAGCCCGCGTGGACTTCCACAACAACCTCGTGGGTGTGAAGGCAAGCGGGGTGGGGCATGGGGTGGGTAGGGCATTGCAGGTGTGAGGGGGTGGTCAGGGTATAGGGCACATGGGTGGGTGCAAAGAGTAGGCTGGAAAGGCATGTGGGAATGTAGGGAATCAAAGCTCTGGGCAGAGACACAGGGAGCTCAGGGTGGGCCTGGGGTGCAGGGTAGGCAGGCACTCAGTGGAACTGATGGGGTACCAGATGTGGGCATCATTGGGGCAGGACATGGAGGCCATCTCTGTTCCTGCCCTCCAGTGCTAGTCAGGGCCCATAAAGCTAGTTACCTACTGGACAGGCAAGTGGGGCTATTAGTCATGGAAGGGCTGTTAGTCATGGAAGGGTACTCTGCAGCCCCTCTGCATGGAAAAGCTCAGTTTAGGGCCATCTGCATCTGTCCCCAGCTGGATTCGGCTACTAGGAGGGACTGCCAGATTAGACTATTCAACTAAAGAGGATGACCAGTCCCCACCTGCCAGGGTAGCATGCAGCCTTGTCAACATAACCTCGGTCAATAGCAGCTACAGCAAGAAGTGCAAAGGTCAGAGGGTCCTAGGGAAGCATTAGGAGCACAAAACCCAGAACCCATTTGGGCAAGTCAGGGGAGCCCAGTTCTGTTTGGCCCTGTCTGTGGCTAGGATTCTCTCTTGAGAGACAGAAATCCATCTCCTAGTGAGTCCTTCTGGAGTCTGCTGCCTGTGTGCCTGGGCCTGGGGCAAACTTGGATCTCTGGCTGTGTCTTATGTCACCTGCAGTCTCTTGACTCCCAGATCCACGATGCTAGGAGAAAACGATAGGTCCCATTATACTCTGAACAGAGCCTCCAGCATCCTTGCCTCTGTCTCTGAACAACCTGGACCACAAAACACTGGCCCAAGGGACTGTAAAGTGCAATTCTCTGCAGGCAGACCCACACAGAAAGGTTCTAGGTTCGTATCCAGAGACTCCCTGATACACCAGATGTGTGTGCACACAATCCAGGAATCCAGGCTGGCTAAAGCTAGGGTGGATTATGGTGTAGGGACCCTGTCAGGGGTGCTGTTTCTCTCATTCATGGAATAAATTTCTTTTTTTTTTTTTTTTAAATGTGTTAAAAGGACCAAAAAAAAAAAAATCACTGGCCCAAGGCTCAGTTGGGGCTGTAGGATGGGCAAGGACGACGCCTCTGTCAGCAGTGGAGGGGCATTTCTTCCTTTAGGGATGTGGAGCTCTGCCTGGGGAGGTAATTAGAGCCAGCCCTGCTCTGAGCCCCTCTCTACTGAGAAGTTGGAGTTCTGAATCACCCACTTATTAAGGAATCAATTTCCCTGCTTTCTGACCAGAGCTCTTGTGCCTACTCTGTCTGGTTGGGGAGGGGCTGGTGAGCAGGGGTGAGCCTGGTGAGGGCAGATTAAATCCCTAAGGCGAGCTGCTTTCTTTTCTTTTGCACTCACCCCCTCCCTTTCCACTTCACCCTTTTGTAAGCTATTAATGAAAAGTCAGAATGTGAAAAGTGCTCCATTAGCTCTGCTGGGCCTGGGTCAGCGACATTTTAATTAAATTTGTCCAAGTTTCTCAGCAAAGCATCATTAAATGTGACTCTTCGGTTGCCTGGCTAGAGGGTTGGGAGGGTGGCTACATTTCTTAATCCCCCTCTAGCTGGCTCTCCTGGGGGCAGCGTGGGAGCTCAGCAGCTTGGCTTGGAGCCCACCTGGGAAGGGGCCTCCTTTCCGTCCCCCCCACCCCCCTGCCCCATTCTTCTGCCTCCTGCCTCACATCCTTCCAGGGGTTGGGACAATGTTTGTAGGGACTCTGGGTGTTAGAAGTCAGGCAAGAAGTCCACAGAGCAGCTAGCTCATCTTTACTGGTAGGACCCTGATCTAGAATGTTCGCGCTCAGCCACGGCTGCTTCCATCTGTGTGTAGGTGAGGGGTGTAACCCTCTCTCCTCTGGAGCTGACCCTGGAAGTTCTTGTAGAGTATAGAGTTCTCTTTTGTCCCCCCTTAGAAGTTACTCTTACCAGGAGGCATAGGCCTCCACTCTTCTACAGTGACTGTACCTACTGCCACGGCAGAGCGACCCACACAGGTGGATGGGACTTGGGGTGGTATCTGCATGTGCAGTAGCACCTGGTCCTCGATACTCGGGTGGGATATGGTTAGCTTAGACATAGACCACCGGGCAGGGTCATATACTTCCTCTTCTGTCTACTTAGCTACACAATGAGACCAGAGATTGAGGTCCTGGTGGGGTTGGGATTGTGGATGGTGGGGTGAAGGGCTCAGCTCTTGCAAGAGGGCAGCCCTATATGCAAGGATGGATGTCTTCAGTAACTAAAGGGGATGGTGACTAGCCTCCTCTCATGGGAATTCAGGGGCGGTCAACCTGGGGGCTGAGGTGCTGACCATGGGGCCTCTGTCTCAGGCAGTCTGTGGCTTTGAGGGGGAGAGATAAGCAAGCCAGCTAGGGAGTCTGGGCTCAATGTGCAGCAGTAAATCCCTGTGGCTGAGGCTGGGTCTGGGTAAGGAGCTGTGGGGACTGGCCCTGGGGAACTGGGGTGTCAGTTTTAGTCCCTCTGAGTTGTCTGCAGGGGCCAATCTATAGGCCTGTGACTTGGAAGTCATGCCCTTACTCCCTCTCTTGCTCCTTTCTGCCAGGTGATCAAGGCTGGAGTAGAGACCACCTGCAAGTGCCACGGCGTGTCAGGCTCATGCACAGTGCGGACCTGCTGGCGACAGCTGGCACCCTTCCATGAGGTGGGCAAACACCTGAAACACAAGTATGAAACAGCGCTTAAGGTGGGCAGCACCACCAACGAAGCCACTGGTGAGGCAGGAGCCAGCTCCCAGCCACGGGGCCGGGCTTCAGGG